CACCTGGCCACGAAAGACAGGTCGCCTCCCCCAGGCTGGCAGCACGGGGGGTTTGGGCCACCTTGGGCTCAGCATCACCCTCTGCATCTGGCAGCCCACACGGGAGCCAGACATCACCTCCCTTGTCCCCAGTGGGCAATGTCACCCCAGCAGCGCTGGGTGCCACGCGGGGCACAGTCTGGGCTGACTCACACTGCCAGTGCTCCAGGATCCCGCCCGCGGGGCTGCTGGCGGCGGGACGAGAGGCGGCAGGGACAGAAGCAGCTCCCCTGCGCCTGCCTCCGCTCGCAGCCGAGCCTGGCGCGTGGCCCAGCCCGGGGGCACCGTGCGCTGCCACTTCTGTTTCCTCCCCGCAGCGGCAAACCCGGCTCTCCCAGAAACCTGCTGTGCAAAAGCTTCGCCCAGACGGGCTCTGGGCTGACGGGTAGAGAGGCCCCAGGGCGGCTCAAGGGCTCAGGACGCGGGTGGGCGCACCGGACTGTGCTGGAAACACGGTGCAGCTCAGGCACTGCCCTCCTTGGCCAGGGCCAAGGGGCTCGGCGGGGACGGAGCCGGGACGAGCTGCAGGCTGGGCAGGACACACAGGCACTTGCACCAAAGGAGCCCGCGAGCCGCAGCGCGTGTCCCGGACAGGGATGCCCCAGGATCCAGGGATGCTGCTGGGTTCACCCACACAGCCAGGCTCAGGCACACTCTGCCTTCGGATGTGGCTTGGACCAGGTCACTGAGCCCCTCAGGGTCTCCGATGTGGAAAGAGGTTGAAAACGTGACCTCAAGGCACCTCAGAGGCTCTTGAGCTGGAATGGGGAAAACGGGAGTCTGCAGGCTTTAAGCTGCAGCCGGTAGAGCTGAGCCTGCTACGGCTCAGGGTTGGGCTCCTCAGCACAGACCTGCTGGGCCAGGCAGGTCCGTGGTGCTGGTGAGATGGACCTGGAGAAGTGGCTGTGGAGAAGATGAGGTGGAGAAGATAGACATGGAGATGACGGCCATGGAGAAGATATCCATGGAGAAGATGGCCATGGAGAAGATGGCCATGGAGAAGATGGCCATGGAGAAGATGGGCACGGAGAAGCCTCTTGCACCATCGCAGGTCACAGCCTAGTGAAGGAAAACTCCTGCCCAATGTTTCTGTGAGCGGCTCTCCCCAGCTCTCGGCCCAGGTTTGGCAGACAGGGAATGGCATGAAGGCTGAGCTGAAGTTCCCACGTCAGACACCCCCAAAGTGTGGAGTTTTGGCTCCCAAACAATGTTGGTGCCTGCAATTAAAGTTCATTTGTCCATGACCTCCTGACTAGAAAGTTATAGCACCTTTCCCCACTCTGAAGCCCATCCTTACAAAGCCAATACACAACATGTCCCTCGATATAGCATCTGAAAAAGTAGGGTTTTTTCTGTACAACAAAAAAGCAAAAAGCAAAAGTGGAGACTTCCCAGGGCTCTGGGCAGCTTCTTGTGCCAGCTCCATGGGGCCGGGACACTCCGGGTCTGCTGCAAAACCTGGTACGAAACCTTGAGAAACAACAACTGAGATGGACAGAGTCATTTGCATAGGGAGAGGGTGATTTTTCTGTCTGAATTATTTCACAAAGGCGGTTGGGCTTTGAGCCCAACGGGAAGAATTGAGTTTATCAAAGCTGAAAAAAAAAACCCTCCTGGCTCATTTAAAAGAAGATTATTTGTTGCTTCGCTCCGGCTGATCTTGGCTGGAGAAGCCAAACCCCAGCCCAGCAGCCTCCCAGTGTGGCAGCCCAGAGCCCAGTGCTGAATTCAGCCAGAAACACAAAACGCCCTGATGATGAACATGAGCAAAATGGTCCAGAAAACGCCAAGAAGGAACGCCATGGCAAAAGAGGCAGGATGCAGAGGGAGAGGCAAACCAGAAGCCGACGGGTACCGGCAGCCGGGATGTGGATCTGAGGGCAAAACTGACAAACGTGTGAAAGCAAAATAGTCAGGAAGCCCCAAACTGCTGGAATCACTCTCGTGATTCCCGCGCCAGGAACGCTGGCTAGGTTAGTCTCCCTTTCCCCAATATTGCATCTCTAATTTTGGCTCTTCTTTAAATAGTCCTGAGCCCCGCACCGTTCTCATGCCGATTAAATCAAATATTTATTGGTGCTGCATCGTGCTCTAGGCAAAGCCTTTTTCCGGAGCTCACTGCTTTCTTGGGCTCCTGCCTTTCAAGCTGATGTTTTCTGCGCATCAAGCGGAGACTTGGAATAAATTTGGAAAATCTCCATTTCAAGTGCAAAGAGAGAGGAATGACACCCATGATTGTGAAAAGCTCCTTGCTGCTCCTGAGCAAGCTGCTGTGGCACCCGAGACACCAAACTGCTGGGACAAGCGTAATAAGTGCAGCAGGGTTCAGCGTGGCCGCAAGAGGCACGAGGGTGTTGGGATGGGGAGCGCAGGGAGGAAAAAAATCTGACCTGATCTGGCCTGAGTCAGCCGAAACCCAGTGTGATGTTGCCAAGTCACAAGGACTAAAAAAGCCAAAAAAAAAAAAAAAAAAAGGCCCCAAAAAGCACCCTTCATGCGTGCATGCTGGGTTTTGTCCCAGGACAGTGTTTGCTTTATTTAAGCCTCTCTTGTCCTGGCCTGGGAAGAGCTGCGCGGCCAGGTGGAAACTCGTCAAGAAGGAGCTTTCCCTTGCAGTAGACGCCTCCGTATTCGGGCTCTTGACTCTAATTAAATTATAGATAGCGAGCTAAGTTATTTAGCACCCGTATTAAAGATGCATGGGCCCTGCCTGGTTCCGGCGTGCGCTGGGGACGAGCGGCGACAAGGCAGCTCCGCGCGGCTGTGCCGGGGCTCGGAGCGCTGAACATGCTCCATCGATCCACAGCACGAAAGGGCAGCAGATAACTCGCCCCGGAGCTGCAGTAACTTACGCACTTTGTTTGCAGCAATTCCGCTTTGTTTTTAATAAATATGTATGGAGCCCTGGCTGCTTCGCTGAGCAGGCAGCCCCGGGCTATTTATACCCGTTATCCCCTGTGAGCAGAGAAGAAATTGGGGGTGGAGAGGGACAACCAGCTCCATCTGCAGCAGGAGGGAGCGCAGAACCAGGTCCTTGCCCCGGGTCGCGTTACAGAAACCGCCCCGTGCTCTCCCAGATGAATCTCAATTCCAAGATTCAGTTGGGAATCACCCTCCCACCACAGGCCTGTTAGTTCCTGGGTAAATAAAATCCGTTTGCAGAGCATGTGCATTAATCTCTGTGTGTTTTTGCAACCAGGGACCCCGGGTTTTGCAGGGGGACGAGGGCAGCCTCCCACGGGCGGCCTCCCCCTCCGCCGGGCCTGCGGAGCGGCTGCTCCCAGGCGGGATCGGGATAACTGGGGGTCCCAGAACCAGCACCCGCCCATGGGTCGTTCGGGATGCAGAGGGCAGAGCCCGCACAGCAGCTCGTCCTAGGCTGCATTCGCCTAACTACCCCACCTGGAACAATTCCCCCTTTTCCCAGGGGCAATAAAAGACCCCAGCAGCAGCACGGGGTAGGACGTGGTGCTTCACAAGGCTCCCCATAAAGTCCCTATGAGACCCGGTGCTGTCGCAGCTCCCCGCAGCTCTCCCAGCAGGCAGGTTGGCAGGAGCTGCACCGGGAGGCGGCTCCGGACCCTGGGCTGCGCAGACAGTCCTACCCCAGCAGCTCCAGCCTCCCCAGCCTCCAGCTCCCCAGCCAGCAGCTCTGGGAGCCGCTAGAGGAGCTCAGGGCTGCGCGTCACCCGTCCCCACCTTCCCTGCTGCTTTGCAAAGGCTGGACTGAATAGTGGGTGCAGGGAGGACGGACAGGGGGGATATTAGCTCTCCTTGGCAAACAGAGGTGCCTGTGGCTCTTTATGGCAATAGCACACTCATTATGGCTAATTCCACGTGGAGTGCTATAGATCTCCATTATTAACAGGAATTCATGACTAAGAGGAGCGTAATGAGCACATTCACATTGCAAAATGCAATTCCCCCGCCGTCAAGCAAACGTATAATGGGGAAATTTATGCCTGCAGTTTGTGTTTCCCCAACCCAGCCTGACTCCTGGCTGAGGAGCAGCCCGTCGGCTTCCTGGCGCTACCCATGTAGGTCACATCCATTTGCAGAGCTCCGGGGCTCCCTGGGGCCCGCGGCGGTGCTCTCACCAGGAGGCTGCGCCGGGGCGAGCGCGGCGGAGCTGCGGGCACCGGGCACGGCCCGGGCAGCGGGTGGGCTGGCGAGCGCCTCGCTCACCCGCAGGGCCCCGTTTTCCCCAAGGAAGCAGCAGACTCAAAGGTCACGCAGCTCCCTGCGCTCACGGACTGACTCAACAGCGCTCGTCCCTGCGAGGAGCAGCACGTGGGGCAGTGGCGCAGATGCTCTGCTGCCCCATAGCTGCAATGCGGCAATGGGGCAGCTTTGTGCACAGATACCACAGTTGGGGGCTGCAGGGTCAGGGCAGATGCTGTTGCAGGATATCAAACACACTCGTGGGCAGTGACCTACACTGGCTTTTTGTGCTGGGGGGAGGGGCGCAGAACATTTTTTTTTTAAAGTCTGGAGTGGCCTCAGTTACACGATGCAGCTTCACACTGGAAAGGAAAAGGTGCAGAGCAGAACGTCTCCACATACTCTGTGCTCATAGTTTCTGATCTGAGAGAGTTGCTGGAAACAGGCCCAGGGCAAGAGCATCTTCACTATTCAAAACAAGCAGAAAATGTGCTTTACCAGCCCTTACTCTTCAGAGTGTCATTGCCTGTTTTCCAGTGTCAGCAGTTGACCAGAACCAGGTGTATCACAAAAATCCATCTCCTTCTGCTACTCCCAAGCAGGGAAGAAGCTGCTTGTGCAGCAGGACGACGGATCACAAAACAGCCGCACAGAAATAGGACCTTTGGCTCCCCAGGAAATTCTAGTTCTGCCTGTAATGACAGGATTGGGTCTATCTGGTGGGAACTAGATAGCTTTGCTGCAGTGAGGCCCTACTGGGCAGTTATCTGCATCTCAAACTCTGCTGTTGAGGCAGTGCGGGGAGCTGGCAGCGCCTGGGGTCCCCTAAGGCAGAGAGGTGTGGGGAGGGGGAGCTGCCACTGCTGCTGTCCCTCCCGTGGCCACCTGTGTAGAGAGGACACCGGGGCTTTGCGCCTGCCTGGTTAGCTCTGCATGCACCAAGGTCTGTTTTCATTCTCCCAGCAAAACCACAAACGTTTAGACTGTCCATCCCACATTCCAGGGGTTTGATTCCGCTTTCCAAACCACAGCGAGCATTACTGCCGAGCTAGTAAAGCCTGCTCGAGTGTTTATCGCTGCATAGCATCAGGTCTTGAATCTAAAGGAAAAGAGGAAGGAGCAACTTAAATCCACTGCTTGAGACTCCGTTAATAAGAGCAGAGAAATTTCAGCCAGAAATAATATGGTTGCAAAGTGTTGGATGGACAACATATGTGCAGAGATACCCCCAGAGCCAGGCCAAAGGTATCTACCCTTACTGTGCTATGAGTGACAAACATTTTCAGTGGCATGTAGAGAATAATAGACAAATCATATCCACAATTTGCTGTCCGCTACTGCATACCGAAACAGTTCAGGCTTTCAGTCCAGGTATGATAGTATTTGAAACTGCTTTTAAATCATCTTATTGTTTAAATAAAATGTTTGTAAGCATTAACATTAAAATTGTAGCAAAAATGTTACCTTTCCTAATTTATGACAAAATCTCCAGAGGCCTTCGATGCCAGCAAAATTAAATAGTTACTTCACTTGTATCACTTCACAGAATGGCTGCGTTTGAAATACAGTTTGTCCAAAGATCAGGGTATTTTAAGAGCTCTTGTTTCTCATATTAGATATGATACCAAAGACTCATTCTCAGACAAAATACATATTTCATACTTGCATTCGGAGCCCTAAACCCAAGTGTTCTAACGCAATTACCTCTGAAAAATCAGGCCGAATGACCAGGAGTTGCTCCAGATGGAGAAATCCAGACATTTTTGGAAATGACTGAACTCTTGAATCAGGCTTCTGGACAGACTCTTAAAATGGATGTCACAAAGGAGGAAGCCCCCAAATCCCTGCACGCCTTTGAAAATGCTGATTTAAAAGCTTAACTCAAAAGAGCTTCCTAGTTAAACACTTGAATTGGAGCTGAGGGTTTTTTTTGCCTAATCAGGTCCAGACAAATTAAAATGAACACAGAAGACTGAATTTACACAAGAAGTTATTCATTAAAGGAAGGGACAAGAAAGGGGCAGGGAAGAGAAAGAAAGCATGTGAAAGAGAGAGAGCACACATACCAGCAAGATATTCCAGGGGAGACTGCGGAAAGGTGGCAGTAACAAACAGCTAGCGTAATAAAAACAGTGAAGATTTTCAGAAATGATGGATACTTTCACTCCTATCTGAGAAAGAAGAACAGCAAATTCTTAGCCCCTCTGAAAAATCAGACCTAGCTATTCAGTGCTAGAAAGGATATCTGAAGGATCTGGTAAATTCATACCACAGAGCAGAAAAATAGTATCTCCTCTAATAGCAAGAATGCCTTAAAACAACCTTATCTATAAAGGGAAGGAAGGGTGAAGCGCGGCCGGGCGGCAGCGGGTGGCAGCTCCCGCGGGCGGTCAGGGCGCGTGCGGGTACCTCCAGCGCAGGATGGCGCCGTCGGCGCTCACGCTCACAATGTACTTGTTCCCCGGGCAGATCTTGAGGCGGGTGATGCTGCCGCTGTGGCCCACTCCGACGTGAGTCACTTCCCCCTCGTTATAGTCCCACATTTTCACCAGATGGTCATCGCCACCTGCATTGGGCACAAAGGAAAAACAGACAATTACACAAAGTTCTGCTGTTTTTTTTTTTTGTTCCCTCATCACAGGCTATGGGGTTCATCTGGTGTAGGAAGGGTGAGATACACTGTTTTGAGCATCATGGCAAAAACTACTTCTTTTCAACTGAACTGGAGAGAAAGTGTCCAGCAGAGTGCTCAGGATCGGCACCAGCAGATCATAGTCAGCTCTGGTCAGCAACTGGCCAAAAATACTAAGGACCTTCAAAAAATCCTTAACCAATGTTGGCCTACCAGAGTAACCTAAAGAAAAAGAATAAAATCCTGGTGCTGAACATACACAATACGACGGTTCCTCCATGCCTGTACGAGGCTCCCAGAAGAGATGTCATGATTGTGGGGAATGTGTGAGCCTGAGGCTGGATGGAGCCTGGAGTCATTCTCATTTGCAAAGCAACAAAGTCAGGACACTTGAACAGATCATTCAAGTGTATGGTGAACACTACTGAACTGAATGAAGTGCAGGATGAGGTGCAGCCTGGTACTCCCTCTGGGACACTTGAATCTTGTCTTTACCCTTAAAATACATCTTGCAGGACTGAACCATAGTAATTTCCAAGACTGATTCACAGCCTCTTTCTAAGGATTTTTCTTCAGTGATTCATTTTATTTTCCCCTGCAGCTGAACTTCATTTTTGTTCTTTCCTGCCCCACTGGGTGTTTGGTTTATTGCCTTGCCCTTCCTGGTGAATAGGGCCTCCTCTTTTCCAGTTTCACCCACCACCTCACCTGTGACAAAGTGAGCTCCATCTGATGTGATGTCCATGCCATTGATGGAACCTGAAGCAGATCCTTCCAGTTCCCTGATTGCAGAACCATCAAACACTTCCCAGTACCCAATCTACAGAACAGACCAAAGCCAAAGTTCAGTTGTGCAGAATCAGCACAGTGATTTCAACACTGCCCTGCAACATAAGCTTTTCCTGAGGTATGAGAGTTTTCTCCACTAACAAGGCCACTATTCCATAAGAAATCCAGGAAGTTCTCCCTAATTCTCATGGCCTGGCTTGATTATGGCCTTACTTGATTCTGACTAGAAACATGAAATGTTTGTAAAAAGGTTTGGGATTTCTGAATTGCTTTAAACACAATTCCTGTAGTTTTCCTTACCCTTCTATCTGTTCCACTGGTGATTATCTGGTACTCTTCAGGATGGTAACACACACATTGGAATAATGTGTTGGCTAGAATCATCTGATTTCTTATAAAACGCCTGCAAAACATCCCAAAAGAGAGCAAGGGGGTCAAAAACATTAAGCTTTCGAAGTCTGAACTATATCCACCAGATCTCTCTTTCTGCTTGGATATTACCAGGTACCAGTCTGAGCTCAGGGTTTCATGAAGCCTATTAGTGTCATCAGTTCTCATCTCTATTTCATAAGACTTTTGATCTGCTGTCATATGAGATGAGAATTTCTAATCTGGAATGCTTTTTAGGTGCTATGAACAATGCAAAAATGTCCTTATCTACCCCGTAACTCAGAAAGTCTAGGGATCTGCAGTGGCTAAATAAGACCCACGCAATGTTGGAAAACAAGGCTAGTAGGAATCGTAGGAAAACATCCTCCCAATCCCCTTGGCCAAGCGGGATCAGATACAACAAAACAACTCTGAACAAATGTTTGTCTAAACTCTTCTGAACAGCTTCCAACGCTGTCGACTCTACTTTCCCTGACTTGATTGCTCTTCCCAGTAATTTTCTTTTCCCTTGCCTCCCTGCCAAGTGATGTCCCAAGCGGGACACAGTAATCCAGCAGACACATTATGAGCACTTTAAGGCTCTTGCATCTTTTTTTTTTTTTTTGTCTCCTTACACAATATCCCAGATAATGCATGTTCCATCAAGGCTGGCTGTGACACATTCTCGGTCATTCTTCTTGATCTTGATACAGGACACGGCAGATATGTGCTCCTTCAGAACCTCCTCCAGCTTGCGAGTTCTCTCACCAATCTCCCAGACCCTCACCTGCAAATCAACAACAAAGATCTCTTGACTTCTGGCAGAGCTCAGTGTTATGCCTGAGTCATTCCTGAAATCCCAGTTTCTCCTACAACACGGATGACAACCAACTCTCAGGGGACTCTCCTTGTTTTTCTGTGGGTTATTCATAAAGCTGGCTCCTAAAATTGAATGCAGTTCTTGAGACTGTAATCCATTTTGCTCAGGAATTCCTGACCATTAACCTTTAACCTTGCTTTTGGCAAGTCCCCACTGTGCCATGCTCAGTCTACTCATCTCTCATCAGGCAAAAAAAAAAAAGAAAAACAAGAAATCTACTCCATGATATCTTTCCAGGGATGCTTTAAAGATCAAAAAGGAAGGATTATGAAAACTGAATGTAAAAAGCTGCCTACTATTTGTGCTACATATAATGCCAGCAAGTAAGTATAAAACAGTTCTTCAAATCTTTGATATAAAATATGTGTCTGAAAGCACTTTTTTTTTTCCCCTAGTGATGGTTAACAATAGAAATCTTCTTGCTTTGAGGACCTGATTCTTCAAACTTCTGATATGGAGAAAATGCACTTACTGCCCAATGAGTGCCAAACTTCATGATACCAATTCATTTTTACATCCCATTAAAGTCAGATCCAAGTGAAAATGTGGTGGTTTAGATAATGGCATCAAAAGCAAGAGCTGACCTTTCATGTTTTGAAGCCTCAGGTTGAGTCACCTATGGGATCTGGATGCCCAGTTTCCGCTAGCTAAATGAAACCAGAACATCCAGATCTCTTAAGCAACCCTGAAAGTCACAGCTTTTGGATGATTGATTTTGATGGATCCATTAGCATTTCAGAACATCTTTTCATGCTCTGGATGAATACTGCAAGTGCTCCCCTGCAGTTCCTGATTCTACTTACCCGACCTTCTAGCTTTAATTTTGTCTCTGCTGCTTTTTGCAGTTCCGAGCTCAACTAACCAGGGCCTGTGCCATTTCGTATGTGTTTGTACAGAATCTAGGTCTTCTGTCTTCTGCATCCTCCGGTGCTAATCACCCAAGATACTTAAGTGTTTTTTATTAGTGAAGGGCTGAAGTGTCTCATCATCTCTAATGTTTTCATGCAGTGAGACAGGACACTGTTGCTGTTACAATTGCACAGAACGAGAGTGGTTCCAGGATTAGGATATTAGCCTTGAGATTTGAAAGATCTAAGTTCAATTCTTCACTCTTAAAGCCTTTCTTTGCAATCTTCAGCATGGCACTCACAAGACTAAGGTTAAGGTGCACAAACAGGATTCAGGAACATTAAATCAGGGTGTCAGGCATCTGCACACTTAGGAAGTCTGGTTCTGAGTATTGCCAGGCTTTAGAGGTGAAGTCTGAACCAAAGCAAGAAACTGAACAAGAGCTTTCCAAGCCTAATTACTTATTTTTTGTTAATACAAATGAACGAAGCTGTGTTTAAATTATTTAGACTTTGTGGGAGAAAAGAAAGCATAGATAGATCTTTTCATAGATTAAAAAGGGCCACAACTAAATGAATTGCGTGGAATAGCCAAGAACAAAGTGTTTGTTTTTCTATTTCTGGGAAAAAAATTCTTGAAGTGCACAGCATGATGCCTATAACATATTTTCTGATTTTTGAGGTTATTTGTATTGGAATGTCTTCATAATTGCACAAGAAATCAAGTTATTATTGGAGCCTTTGATTAGCACCACTACCTCCTAAGCCAGCAATTGCCACCAAAGAAAATCAGGAGGTTCCCCATAGACAAAATAGTGATATAAAGTACACTTTGTGCTATTGATTTTTAAGTTTTTTTTTTTAAAGAGGGAGAAAATTAAATGAATTCATACAAGTCAATTTGGACATGACTAGGACTCCCGAAGGAACGACAGAAAGAAAATCTGTGCTCTAGACACAGGCTTGCAAACAATGACTACAGCAGATAAGCCAAGTATGAGACGCAAAGGAGCAAAAAAGGGTTAAGAGTTTGCAAACAATGACTACAGCAGATAAGCTAAGAGATGCAAATGTGCAAAAAAGGGTTAAGAGCATGTTCTGCATTAGAAGGATTTTCCAAGACTACCTCACCGGAAGAAAACAGCGCATTGTTTTCTATTCCACCCTCTAAGGGGAAAAGATTTACATGTATCAAGGGCTAATATTTTAGAAATGAGGCCTTTGCTTAAGCAAAATCAGCCAAGAATAGCTCACCTCCCAACTAAGGGGGTTCAGCCAATTCCCATGTCCTGTGCCGAGAGCACAAAACAGCTCCCAGGTTTTGAGCACAAGTTACCTGCCCTTCACCTCCTCCGCTGATGATGCGGCGGCAGCTCCTGGTGGCGGCGATGGCCGTGACGCCCAGGCTGTGGGCATGGTCGATCACGTACATCAGCCGCCCGGTTTCCGGCATGAAGGCGCGGATCTTTCCGTCATTCCAAGCTGATGAAAACAAGGAAACAGAGGATCGGGACTCATAGACACTTTCTTCATACTATTCTGTCTTTTTCCTTTCCAAAGGAACCCTTTTTCCTCTTTTTTCCCCTTAATTCATGTATTTAATTATTAATTATTTAATTATTAATTCATTATTAAGCTCCTTTATAATGCTTACACTGTTAAACCACTAGTTTATATATGGAATCACTGCAGCCTAGAGCTGTATTTCCAAATAAACTGCTGAAATGTCATTCCTTTGTGGTTTGGCCATGAGCAAACAGTTTTGGTAGCAGCAGAGGGGCAGCTTTGCTGCTCTCAGTAGCTGAGCAGCAGTAGTCCCTGTGTAGTCACTTTGTGTAGGGCAATGGGTAGGGCAGATTTGTGCAAAAGGTGCTCTGCATACCTCAAAAGTTAGTATTTCGTATATGGCAAGGTTAATAGTTTAGAAGTGAGTCTTTTGCATAAAGTTGAATTGAGTTTTGAACTGCTGGAATTCAGAGCCAAAGCAGGCTCTCAAAATCTTGCCTTTTCCATATATTGCAACTATGGGATTTGGGGTTTGTAAAGCAAAGCTTGTTGGATCAGTTGTGAACAAATGGGCTTTGGGGTCACAGAAATGAACTGAAATAACTCTCAGTTTAAACCTTTCCTCACTCTAAACACCTAAGGACTGAACTTTACCATGGGACAGGACCCATCGTTACCTGAAATGATGCTCCTGCCGTCGCTCATAAACTCTATGGCTCGGCAGGTCATGTTGGGGATGACGATCCGGAGCAGCTCCCTGTTTTCCGGGGTGTGCCATACCCGGATATCATTTTTGGAGCAGGTAGCAAACAAGTCAGAAGTTCCCCTGGAGAGTGCAGAGAGGAAAGGCAACACGGGGATGGCACAGGGAAATGGCTCCCTTATCAGATCTGAAATCACCCTTCAAAGCTTGGCTGTTTCTAATGCTCAGCTGTAATCTTCTCAACAGGGATCACCACAGTCCTTTGCCATGGGACCACCTTTCTGGCAAAAAACCTCCCCCGATTTGGTTTCAGTTCAAAGACTCATCATAAGGGGCAGTTAAATTGAAATTAAAAGCACTCTTTTTCCTTAGTTGAGGTTGTGACGGTTACTCCCCACATAGGATCTCTAAAAGACTTCAGATGTTTCTTGTACTACAGAGGAGTAGAGAGAGGTGCGCTGACTGCTCAGACTTAACGCTAGGGACTAACTCGAGGCTAGAAGGAGTGATTTTGCAACATCACCAATGACTTTGCAGCATGAGATTAATTCTACCTGGCATAAAATAATACATTAATTATGCATGAAGACAACCAAACCATATATTCTAGGGATATGAGAGCAAGTGAAATCTAGGAAAGGTATCACATTATTCTGTTCACCATCAACACCTGGAAAGATGAACCAGTACAGGGAAAACTGACAGAACAAAGTGCAGTCCCTTCAATCCAGGCTTGTGCAAATGCTTTGTAAAGCAGGGTAACAACAGCAGCTTAAACTGAAATAAGCCAGAACAGGGAAATTAAGTCTGTATTTCCAAATCAGTGCTATGCTCTGTTCAAGAGTGGGTAACAGACAAAAAATTTAAAACATATGCAAGGATGCAGTTACAGTCATTGCTAAATCTAGCTCATCCAAATAACTCTGACGCAGATGTACTAGTCAGGTATATTAGCATCAGATTACTCCAAAGCTCCCCATGATTTACTCATTAAATTAGAAGGATGTGGATTTTTCAGACTGGTGACAAGCAGGGAGGAGGGCATCTTGCACTCCTGATTTATACACCACACGTTTTGCTGTACTCAGGTAAGATGTGATAATTGGTGCCGTGTCAAGAAGGGATGCAACAAGAGCACATGGAAACCCAAAACCTCCTTCTGGATGAAAGTGCCATTCTCTGTTCAGAAAGGGGACAAGGGACCCATTGTTTGTATAAAATGTCACCATCCTGCTGCACACAGCACGAGGGAAGGTTTGCTGCCTCTTCCTGAGCTGAGTGCGGATGGAAGACATGCCAGCACCCCTGGCAATCCACCCTGCAGGCCTGCGATTAACCCATGGGCCACCTTGTCAAACACGAAACGACAAGTGAGATTGAGAGGGCTCCCCAAAACATTTCACTGGGTTTGTTAGTCAGCTCTCAGCTGAGATTCAAGGGAGTGGTAAAAAGCAGCCAGTGCTGCAGATACAAAGCTGAGCTGCAACACGATAGACAGAAGGAGCCTTTCAGGATTCCCACTGATGGGGGACTAAGTGCCCCAGGTCTCGTAGTGGTGTCACCCTACGAGGAGCAGGGACTGGGAAGCAGGGCGCTGCCATCACTGCTGTTATCCAAACACAAATAATTACCTCCTTTTTATTTAGAATCCTTTCTGTCGATGGATGATTTCGATTGATGATGTCAAACTGAATTGCTGCCTTCTGCTTTTAAGCAGTTGCTCCCCAACACCCATTTTATAGGCAGATGAAAGCATTCCCTGGATAAATCACCTGGAAAGGCATCTACTAGACTTTAGGAACTTGCTGCTTAAAAGGATTTACGTAGCTGTCTTGGCCCTACTTGCACCTTCCTCTCATTTCTTTGCAACCAGTTGTACTCACAGAGGAAAAACGATGTCGTGGATGGCTTCGTTATGGCAGGTGGCAATCAGCTCCTCCTTAAACTCTGTGTAATTAACTCGATAGATCTGGGACTCATTTGTCCCTGCAAAGAACTGGTGCCCCTGACCTCTACGCGTCAGGGAAGTCACGGTACCTTGAACTTGAATTTTCCTGTTAGGACAAAGCAGAAGTTTGGTCTGATGATGCTGACCTTGATATGTATTTTCCATCTTCCCTTTGTCCCTTTAGAGAGAGTCTTGATTTCCCCTTTCTCCCCAACATGCTTCATATGAGGCAGTGATGTCAATATGCAAAAACGTGCTCAGGACTAACATTTCATTCCCCATCACATTTGCTCCTACTTCATATGATCCTGCGTGTCCCGTCTGCAACTCTGCCAGGGCTTGAAAAGGCAGCACTCTGGGGACTGGACCAGGGCCTAAACTAACAGCACCCTGTTTATATTCTTGCTCATGTGCACTTAAGTATCACAAACTCAAGAATAATTGCAGTTTAGATCTTTTGGGAATTGTTACAAAATGGTATAAAGCTAAGCTTTCAGAACCACATACCTAAGCTGCCTGTTCAAACAATGCAGAATGAATAATTGCAAGCCCATTTTCAAATCACTTACTGGGCAATGAAGCCTGAAGCTTTCTGTTTGGCATGCAAAAAAAAGAGTTTTGCAAATACTCCAGTGCTTTGAGACAGTGACTATAAAATCAGTGGAAGCCCTCTTTTACAATCCCACTTCCTCCTACAAACACTTATCTTTTTTTAGATGGCAAACACTGCTTTCTAAGCTTACTTCCTAAGCTGGTGTAAATCAGCATACGTTTTCTGCTTTTGACAGACTTTTTTTTTACTACAATTTAGAATCTGATTCCAAATGCTTAAAAGGTAGCAATGGTCATTTAAAATGAACTATGCGTCTGGCAATTTACTTCTATGTAAAAATATGCAGTAATTTTCAATCTGCTTCATTTTCATTATGCTGGAACCATACTGTTTATTTTAACAACACCGATTTTGTCCGCAGGATTGAAAAACTGAGGCTTATTTGGATTATGCTTCTTTGGGGGAAATGATTGGTTCTCATACTATGACTCTTTAGGGGAAGTTTCACCTCTACCCTCCTCATTCTCCCTTCTGCCGACTCACTTCATTGCTTTGTAGTTGGAGCCTTTACAGAGAGCTACAATCCCTCCTCCGGTGCCGACTATTATATCTCCTGTCTTCAGCAAAAGCAAAGCTGTGACTCCCTGGGAGAAAACAGGATTAAAACACAATTGGATGGAAGCAGAGTCTCTCTATTGATGCAGCCATGCTGAATAGCACAACACGGTCTTTATCAGGCTCCCCATGGTGTTACTTATGGCACTCAAATTTTGCTTTATCAGTATTCTTTGCATGACCTAGGCCAACAAGTGATCCTCTAGTAGAGAAAATGGAGAAAAAAAGTTCTTAGTTACAGGTATATATATACATACAGGTGTATAAATATATATATATGTACAGGAGTAGTGTTCAAGCACTTAAAGAGCAAGTAAATACACTCCAAAGGCTTCATGAGGGGGTTATGAGCCTATATACCCTTAGCTTATTCCAGCAAACAACACACACATTTTTGTATTAGTGCCTCCACTTTTCCTTTCACAGGTTCTTCATCTGTCAGACAACAAAACAACAAAGGATAAAACTCAACAAGTTCTCTGTGTCACAGACCTCTTTCAGTGCTTGAAACCCAGTCCCATCTTCCTGGTATTAGTAATAACAAATACTTGCCACAGAAAAACTTGAGAAACCAGCCAGCCCATCAGCACAGGTTTCAGCTATTTGCTAAAATTAGTACATTAACAGAAGACTGGTCACTGGGAAAAGGAATAGTGCTGTTTGGCAGATAAGGCACGAGACTACAGTCAAAAAAATAAATCAGTTCTCAGCCTTATCACAAAATTTGCTGGATACATTAGACAAATCACTATCTCTCTGCACTAGTTTTGCTGTACGCAAAATAATATTGCCCTCCTACATAAGACAGCAGATTGATTCTTGAAAACCTCTGAGAGACCCCAGAATAGGTTAAAAGAGGGGTGAAACTGTCACTGTGGGGCCAAATCTCAGTATTTATACCCAGAAGAAAATTCTCTTTGTGCAGCATACAAACGAGTGAAATGGGGGGGCGGAAAAAAGGAGAGGAAAAAAAAGAAATGCAAATTCAAACCCAACTTGGATTTAAAGCTGAATTCCATCACTAGGTGGAAAGGAGGTCCCAAGAGGCACCTTCTGCTCTTTCCAAGAGAGCGGGAAATGATCCCTGGTGGCTGCTCTGCACCAGCTGACGATGGTTGGAACTGCAATAGAGGCTCCAAACTGCATTGGCCACTATCTAAATTTAGAAGCAGTCTTGCTAATTGTTGTGATAGTACCAGTTACACAACAGTAAGATTTTTCCTTTAAGCCTCAGCTCTTAGGAATTGAAGTTTTCACTTAAAAGCTGTGCTTAGTGTTTCTTTCTTTCTTATCTTTTTTATTTTTTTTTTCCTCTGGAAAACAAAACTAGCATTTAGTGTTGTAAAAGCACAAAAAAGGGACTAAAAAAAATATTGAAGAATGATAACCAAAACACACATCAGAAGAGTTTTACATTTATTATTTAGGAAGAAATCACTGTCATGTGCTTGACTTGTGATTTTTGACACAGGCGGCAGTATTCTGTTTTTCAAAATTTCCTGGGAGATGTTGATGGCATTTTCTGAGTCCCCTGTTACTACAAACCCTTTAAGTTTCTTTTGATCTACTATTTTGTAGGGGATGTTCTGTCTGTGTCTGCAAAAGACTTTCATCTCAAACGCCCTTCAGGTGTAGCAGTTTTAGGGCACTTAGAAACCAAACCTGTGACTATGTAGTTTACATGATTACAGCTTGCTGCAAATTCGAATTTCTATAGTGCTTTCAACGTGGTTTTCATTTTTTTTCAATGCATTCCCTTTAATTTTCCTACTTTGGCAGGCAAGTAAATACCATTAACAGCAAAAAAAAAAAAAAGAGCCTCAAAGTGTTCAATTGCTCATGTTGCTAAGTTCTCAAAAATGTCAGAGTTTGAAGCACTGTGAGTAAACAGGTAGCTTGATATATAATGAGTGAAACTTATAGAGTCGAGCAGGTCACGTTAATGAGGCAGTGAATACTCTATTTTACATGCTATTTTATATGCTGCCAGGCCTTTTGTAGGTGGAACAGAGTCTAATGCAGAGGGTTAAAAATATCATCATTCATTAATTGCTGCTCCCCAAAAGAAACCACCGCTTTGAAGTATGATTACTACCAATAAAAACACGGGAGCACACGCAGCGCCCGTTCCCTGCCCTGCAGGGAGACTTGCTGGCTCTCACTCTGATCTCTTACACAGTGCTTTATCACCCTACTAGCTCTTCCACTGCACTTAGTTTAAATATTTTTCACAATGCAAACACTCCAGCTGTTGCTGCAAATGCATTTGCCAGAGCACGTCCTGCTCTGCATCTGAACAGCTGCCCTATAGCTCCTCAAGCCTGCGATGGGAATAAAAAATAATTTTACTGTTTATTCCAGTGTTTGTAGGAATTCACCTAAGTGTAATTGCATTTAGCTGGAAAACAAGTTGTTTTGTAATACTAGTGCACTACTCTGTGTACTCCTACTACGCCCCTCCAAAACAGAGACAAATTAATGACCTCTTCAGATCATGCCCACATAATAAACAAACTTTTTCATGTATCTATAAACAAAGCTCCTTTAAGGTTCATCAAAACTATTTTCAATGAATTTCATCTCTGCATCTCAATTCTTTACAGAACTGCTCGTCACGGGGTCATTGTTTCATGGTGAGCACGGGCTCACGCTTCCTTGGCGCCCTTGGTGGAAAAGGTTTGCAGGGATTCAGGATAATGTTAGTAAGCAAATATGCATCTTTCTGGATAGAAGTGCAGTGAAGTAATGAATCATAGAATCATCGAATGCTGAAGGTTGGAAGGGACCTCTCGAGGTCATCTAGTCCAACCCCCCTGCACACGCAGGGTCACCTAGAGCACGTGGCACAGGACTGCGTCCAAGCGGGTTTGAAGATCTCCAGAGAAGGAGACTCCACACCCTCTCTGGGCAGCCTGTTCCAGTGCTCTGGCCCCCTCACTGTTATTTTTTTTTCCTTAAGTTCCTGTGGAACTTTTGATGTTTCAGTTTCTGGTCCTTTCTCCTGTTCTGTCGGTGGCAGGGACAGGTCCCACACTGGGAGATGCGCAGCCAATCTCTGAGGCCAGGCAGCAGGGGAAATGCATGGTTAGGAAGGTTGAGATGGACCCCAAAAGACAGACTTTGGGCAAGCACCTCCTGCTGGAAAGGGCTCTTCTGAACCAGGCGCAACAACAGCTTTGCTTCAGGCTGCTCGAGCTAAGGGAATTTTTGGTACCACCTGCCAATCAGGGACGTGCTCCATTTTCAAGAGAGATACAAAAGATGTGTAGCGAAATACATACAGTTCTACAGGAAAACAAACAAACAAACAAACAAAAAAAGTGATGACAACAACAACAGAAAAAAACCCACATCTCTCAGGGTTAGCACTATTATGCACTAAATTTTGTAGAAACCAGGTTGCCTATCCTTTTGCACTGATAAATGCTCTACTTTCTATCTGATAAAATAGAGTACCTATTCTGGTATCCCAAGCTATGCTAGAATTGGAAATTTGTGACATAAAACACTAGATCCTGCTGTGTCTGATGAGGACTTGCTGGCATTTTTTTACAGTGTATTTTTTGTGTCTGCAGGTTTTCAGAGGGTGGACCAAGGAGAATCACAGTAAGGGGCTTGGAAGGAAGAACTGGAGGATGAAAGAGCTATTTTGAGCAATAGGGTAGGGTAGGAGCTTGGAGGGGCTATCTGTTATTTCCACATAGGGTCCTGAGTACAAATGGAGGGAGAAAAATGCGCCACCACTGCCCAACATGTCCTTCTCCCTCCTCCTGGCATTATCACCGTATCTTAAGTAGATGCTTGAGTTGTTAAAACGAAATGGAGGTGGGACAGATCTACCAGCCAAGGTCTCGGGCACAAAGCTGGAAGTCAACTGTGGTGTCCACTTTGGGCTTTCACGTCCCCCTGGCACCTTGTCAGCCCCTTGTGTAGTGGAAGATCCTGTTTCTCCTCAGCTCTTCATTATCAGCAGCACTATCAGGTGAAGCCAGTGATGTGCCAGCGGTTTCTGCCACAAATTGTGTTTCTATAATACTGTCTTATAAGAAAACTGCATATGGACAAGATTGTGATCTGCCTTTGAGCATCTGGTTTCTTCAAGATGTCCTAGGATCCCTTCCAACCCCAAATTGCACAGCATCATGTTAATGACCCTCTCTGATCACTGCATTAGCAATGCCCTCAAAACAGAGAGCAGTTTCGCTTCAGAAGCACCAGCACCTTCACCTCAACCCAGAGGCACGGGAGGTCGGGACCTGGAACGGCTTCACACAGGCGCAGCTGCAACACGACTCCGACGGTGCCAGCGTTCCAAAGGGGAGCTGATAATCGCCAGGAGCTCAGTGTAGGAGGCAGCAGAGCTCGGGCGGGACACGGGTGTGGATGCCAAGAGCTGCAGGAGAACAGCGGGAAACGCAGGAACCCGGAGCGCTCCGGCGCGTCGCGGTGATGCGAGCGGAAAAACGGCCTCGTCCCTTAGCGGGTACGCGGAATTCCATCCCCCGCGTTCCCACAACGCCACTGGGATGGATGAGCCTCATAACTTCTCCCGCCTTCTGGAGTAGGTGAACAGTGAAACATATTTAAAGAACTCGGTGGCTTTTCACATCCAAGTTATACCAGGGATGGGGGCATGTATCTGGAATGCAAGAAGTATGACGTTTTGATGGGAAAACATGTGAGTTTTATACACATGTGTTGGTACAAGCAAAGTCCAGGAGGTTTGGAAAAACAAGTCCAAATTAGCTTTTTGGGGGGAGTTTGCTGCTGAATTTTTCTTAGCGCTCTTGTTAATCTTGTGTTTTCTCTCAAATAACAAGATCTACTTCTTTCTAGGACAGCTTTCCCCCGGCATTCAGTACATTCAGCACTTCCACCTGCAATTCTTCCCTTGTTTCTTGCTGATTTGCAGTGTTTCCAATAGAGCAACAAAATATATTCAACCTTATTTTGTCAGGGAAGCACTGGAATTCCTTAGGTATCACCCTCTCCACTGGGTATAAGCTGAGAAACTACATGAAGTCTTTTATAGCAACAAATAAAGAGAAACAAAGAGAAAATGTACTAGCCAGTGCTGATTGTTTATCACCACAACTCCCTGCATGCAGAATTCTTGGCAATGAAAGACCAAAATTACCTTATTCAGAAGATAACTCCTGTCTGGGGATCCCCATGCTCAAACCCGTGAGTCCCAATTGCAGCCAAAAGAACTATGTTAAAAGGACTTTATTAAGGTTATGAAGTTAAGCACTCCAAAGTTAAAAAGCAACAGAATGAATGCATCCTGTGCAACCTTGTTGTGTCCCCACTGCATAGATTTTCTCTGTATATTTAATATATTTGTATATGTATTTTAACAAAGTCTTTAGGTATATGATCTAGGCTATTTTTTCAGCAAGACCTCTGCCTCCTCAGTGAAAAAGCTACAGCTACTCGAGAGATCAGTCAGGAGGGGTAAAACAGAATAGGCTGTGCTGAGAGGACACAAATAATCCATAATGAACAAAGAGGCAGAAGAAGAGAACAGATCATCTCTTGGCCAGGAAACCTTCGTGTTGTCCAGAAGAACTGAATGTGAGAAATCACCTCTGCCAACATTCTCGTGACGCTGAGTAAGTCATTTAAAAAACTTTTAAAGTGGTGTCTAGTGTGTTGCTCATTTCTCCAGCGCCAACACTGACACTCTGGGATTGATTTTCAAGCGCATGGAGCATTGAAACCTGTGAATAAGGTCAGAGGAGTCACGCGTGGATACAGTAAGAAGCTACACTAGTACCATGGCCAAAACAAGAGTGGGGACCCAACCTCTCAAAAAGCATTCCAGAAATCAGCAACCAGCAATCTGCACTTCGAGGTCTGCGCGCTTTAGCACAAGCTAGCTGCCACAGAAATGCCATTAAAGCATTAGTTCAGAGCATTCACACTTATTTTTGATGGCAGTGCTCAGTAAGGCAAGCCTGGAGCACATATTATCCTCTCGTTTCAATGGAATATTGGGCACCTGCTTGTTAATGGCCACCAATGACACAAGTCTTCTGAGGGAGGCAGTATCCAAGAATCACGGCATGGCCGAGCCTGGAGGGCTCTCTGGAGAGCACCTGGTCCAACGTCCCTGCTCAGAGCACGGCCAGCTAGAAAACAAAACACTGGAATGCAAAGAAAGAACCTACAGAAATTGCACCTTGCAGGACACAAGTCACTGACGGACCTGGACCGTTTAGCTCCAGCACATAGATTTCCTTCTCTGAATGAAGGGGGGTAACTGAAACCAGGCTGTATCATCAGGCTCTTTGATCCCCTCAACACAGAGGAGATATGCTTTATTTGTAAATTTTCACTGTTTTGCTGATCCAAAGAAGGGAGTTGCCTCTCTCAGTTGTACTGGCAACAGTTTATGAGGCCCTGCTGTAAGATCAGTGAAATTATCTGGGGAAGAAAAACGCTGTTCTCAGGGTTATCTTTCAGCTGAATCCATTCTTGATCCACTATAGCCCTACAGGCAATTCAGTTGGCTCAGCTGGGGCGACAATAAACTGCAGCAATAATGTAGCATGAAATTATGGTCTCAGGCAGCTTTGGTTTCATTGCAGAAACCACATAAACAGGGCACAGCCTGTTCTGTTTCCCCGACCTTTCATCCCTTCGGCTCAGCTTTATTCTGCTTCTTGTTCTCCTCCTTATCCTTATCATGGTCCCACTCTTATTTTCTCAACAACTTGCAGGATTTGCTCCTTGTTCGTCGACGCCAGCTGCCCCTGTGCCATGCTAATTCTCACTTCAGTGGGTCACACTGAGCATGTGCCAACTGCAATTGCTGTTTACTGCCTGTCAAATACAGGAAAACCTTCAGTAAATAATCAGCAAAAGACACATCCCTTTTAGAAAGGCCATTCCATTGCCAAATTTCATATCTGTTTTAAATAATTTTGAAGAGAAAATCTCCTGAATGGAAAAGAGGAGGAAGGACTGGGGAACAAACACAGAAACCTGGTACTTTTCCAAGCAATTGTAGTGTTTTGAAGTTTTTCCGAAATGCTTTTCCTGTAGCAGGCACCTGGCCTGGAAAATTACAGAGCAGGCAGGTCAACAGATCTGTAAGATCCAAATATAGGAGTCTATAGTGGAAAGTATGGGAAAATCTCACTGCTAAGCATTTTTACCATTCTCCTTTAGAAACAACCTCTGTCTAGCTCTAGCTAGACCCTGTATCTCCCTGACATCAGGAGAAAGCAGAGAAAATGCAAGTCTTTCTCATTTTATCATTTACTGCTAGAGAATAAGCCAGGAGAAATATTTATTTTACTTCTTCCTTGTGGTCACTGCAGCCACCTCACTACTGTTGGAGAGACTTGGACCTGCATCTCTGGAAGCTTTTGAGAGCAAAACTGTGACTCATTAGGAGCTCACTGACTGTGCGACCTCTTCTTTTCCAGTCTGGTCACAGGAGAGGTGAGATGCATAATTTTTGAGGGTAGGGATATTTTATTTTCATTCCCACTGCAAAGACAGAACAGGAAAGGAGAGGGAAAAGAAGTTTCTTGCCTGACTTACAGTTAAATGATGTTGCTAACAGCATGTTAGAAGAACCACATCTAATATCCAGTTCCACCAAAAGGTATTTCATTGGATTCAGATGGTCAAATATTGACTGTCGGACATTCAGGCTATTCAGCAGGTGCTACATTTAATCTTGGTATCCTACTTCTTAAGTTCAGTGAAGAAAAAGGTAACAGTGATGCTGAGAGAAAGTACCAGTGAATTAAACATGGAGGACTGATCCATCCAGAGGAAAGAAAATTGCCAGATAAGTCTCTTGAGGCAATTCTTGTGCACAGATAAAAATATCAGGAGTTACTGTATTTTTATGATTGTTTCCCAGCTTTTTATTGCTCTTATCAAATTTAATATAAGCAAAAACTTCTAGAAGCGCACAGAAGATTCAGGTGAAACTGAAATTCTGACCCAGACAAAAATGAACAGAGTCAAGTCAACAATCTCAAACTTCAGGATCAAAATTAAGACATTCCCAAAGACAAATTCCCAAAATTAAGGCATTCCAATTAATAGCACAGAGCAAGGGTTAGTTTTTGAACCAACTTGGTAATGGTTCTCCCACGTGTTGCCCCAGTATCACTGACTGACAAAGATGAAAAGCAGGGAAAAAATCAAGTCAGAGCTGGCACTCACCATGCTGAACTTCTCCTTCTGAGGCCCGTAGTCACTCATCAGCTTGTTGTTGGGGTTCAGTTTCAGGACATCACCACTTGATGTGCCAACATAGAAATAACTATCATCATCTGCCATCTATAGGAAAGTGCAAATTAAGAGATCAGGGTCCAGTTACTCGATGCTTGTACCCAGCATAGTGCTCTGCTCTGTAAATACCTTCGCTGGGTGCATTGCCATGATTTCACTTGAGGGTATATAGGCAATGTTTTCATCTCAGCACACACACAAAATCCACAAATCCAAAGAATGGAAGGCATTTTTCTAATTAAATACACATAATATTTTGAAGTATAAGTTGAATTCACTGAATGGTAGAGCCTCTCCAGCTAAAATTCAAGCTGCATCTCCTCAGAAGTGTTCAAAATACTCTTTTCTCAGAGGGAAGAAGTTATGGGGGACTGTCTGTCATGAGACAAGATTTAATAGCTTCATTGTCATCATATATTTGGTACTTCCTACATTACTGTAATAGCTCATGGTCTTTCTGTAGTCGCTTGAGAGTTCCTCATTTTAGCCACATAATTTACTCTAACTTACCTTAATGCATGTGATCACTCTTTTCAGTTGCCCTGTTTGGCATTCAGTTGGTCGGATTTTTCTGTTTTTAAGATCCAGTTCCCATACTCGAATGGTCCCACTGTAAGAGAGAATATACTGCAATCAAATCCACATATACAGAAAAATCCAAGTTCTTTTACTGTCACAAGAATTAGAAAAGCTTTCACTAGGTCATGTTATTCTGAAATTTTAATAAGGAGGAAAAAGAACAATATAGCATATGACAAGAAGGAGGCATATGAAGGAAAAAAAGGAAAAGAACTGTATCAGAGAGGGAAAAAGTAAATCTGTCTTTTCTGCTGTTTTTATGGTAACTTTTACCAGATAAATCAAAAATCTAAAAGATTCAGCAGAAATATTATTAGGACTGTGGAGGAGCATGTAACAACCTTGACACTTCATTTCCCAAAGAGACATGCACTGTGGGAATCCCGTTTCTTAGACTAGGAAATGAGCACTACAGGCCACTTTCAAGTATTTTCTAGCACAGTTTAATTGACAACACAGGAATCAATATAATAACTTTGCACACAACCTCCCTTACATTTTACAGAGAATTAAAACTGCCAAGACCAGCACTTGGCAACTGCTTCCAAGACTATCTGAAGCTGCTCCTCGATTCAGAGGGGCTGTAGGTCCTCAGCACCTTTAAATGTCAGGCTAGATAGATGAGGGCTGTACCAAATCCAGGCAAAAATGTTGTTCTTTGTATCAACTTTGGTCATAAGCCAGTAACCAGTTGTACACAGCATCTGGGGAGGACAGGAGCCCATCCAACACCCTGCGAGATACCATTGTTTCTAATTAATAAGCCATTGTTCAAGGCCTTCATTGACTGCCCGTCTTGTGTAACGCTGGGAACTAAATATTTTAAACACCGCCCGGGGAATGCAGCACCAACTCCTGCCATGAGGCAGAAGTGACGCATGCTGGTCCATGTGCTGCCTTGAAAGCAGCTGCTTCTGCGAGGAACAAGCAGAAATGCCTTAAAGGGACAAGTTAATGGATTTTCATAGGTCCATTCAGAGCAAAAGGAAAAACACTCGAATGCTGCCTTGCCTAACTTGTGTTGTACTTAAGTAAAGAGCCTTCGGAAAGGGAAGTGGTCTATGGGTTTTCTAAGAGCCCTGCTCATGTAAACAAACCCTTACTTCCCAGCGGTGACAAACATCTCATCTCTGCATCTGGAGAACGCGAGCACTGTAGCATTCCCGGCGCTGCGAGCCGACGCGGGGCTGCCGCACACGGCCTCTCTCTTGGGAATGCTCCACACAACCACGCTGCAGGAGGAGGAGAGGCATTAAGGAGTTTCCATTTTATAAACATGACTTAAAAAACTTGCCACAAAAACACAAACAGGCCTATTTTTCTGCAGTCAGCTGTTAGACAAATATACAATAAAAGTAACTTTGTGGATATTTTATCTAAGAAAATTCCTAACATAATTACTAGGAATTGCAGTTTCCACCCCGTTGTTAAAGTGGGAAAGTGTACTTATCTTAAGGATTCTGTTGACCAAGAGTCCAGTCATATTTTAGGGCAGTGGTAGACACTAATTTAATGACTTTTTCTTCCACCCTTACTTGCTTGTTGAAGTAACCTTTTGGTGGCATTTAGACTTTCTCAGGACACCCGAGTTAGCCAGTGAACAGCCCAGTCTGCACATCCCATGCGGGTGGCAGTGCCAGCTCGAGAACTGGCTGTTCCCCCTCTGCTTCCCACCAGCCGCTGGCTCCTGCCCTAGAGCCCCCTCCCGGTGGCACCAACCCTGCCTCCTGCCAGGAGGAATGGGGAACGGGGTTGTGTCCGGGGACATCCTGAGAAGGGGAAAGAGCAAAATTGCCAGAAGAGGGAAAAAGTGCAATATTCTTAGATGTCCTACCAAGAGGAAATTGGAAATTGTTACCTGCCATCATCCTGGCCTCCCAGCGACACAAGATAAAGGTCGTTTGGTGAAAATGCTAATCCTTCAATTCTACCCTTATGAAGTGACAGTCGAGCAAGTAGCTCCTGCTTCTTAAAATCCCACAAAATGATGTCTGCCTGAGGCCCAAAGCAAGAGAGGGGAAAGCCCAAGCGTTAGACATAACACGCTGAAGTCCTCTGGCCTGAAAAGGCTGAGTTACAAGGAGCCTCGCTTAAGGTTCCCTTCTTTCCAGCCCCAAGTTCGATGGATATGAACCCACTTCAGATTAGGCGCTGTACCAAGTGCTATTACAATGCACCAGTCCAGCAGCTCAGCCTTATTTCAGAAACAAAAGTTTGCACTCATATATTGATCTATGGAACAGTACTGGGCTTAGATTTTTAAATAGTGGCTATTGGCTCAGTTCCTTTCCAACGTCTCAGGGTCTTTTCCACCAGACACCAAATAAGCCATAGGGAACTTCCAAGATCTAAAATTGTTGGTACTTGTCAAGGACTTCTGAAAATCCTAAGCAGCCCTGGAAGTCAGGTCCCGCTTTAAATACGATGGCATTTATTAATTAATGTCAGATGAGATTTGGGATGCCACCTGCTCATGACACTTTTGATAAAAAGGCCTGGAACTAAGAAATGCCTTAACCTAGTTACTTGATCCTAGAGGGAATGTTTAACACCATGTAAAATATAAAGGCACATCCAGCAAGAGAGCGGCCACAGCTTCCCACCACCTGCAGTGCCCTCCCACTGTAGGCATTTGTCTTCCAGCAGAAGATTTATTCTTTAAGCAAAACGTGTTCCCATCACCGGCAGGCCAACTTCAATCTCCACGGGCAATTATATGGCTAGAAATAACGCACGATCCACCTTGAAGCCCATGAAGGTGACTTGTCCAGAGGCCACCAGCATTCCGCTCTTCGACACCACCACGCAGGAGACGTTGTTGGTGTGGCCGTGCAGGAAAGTCTGCTTGCCGTTGGCCATGCCTTGAATAACCACAGTGCATCCCAGGGGATAGAGAATATGCTCCTGATCGGGGTGGCAAATGAGGCCAGAAAGTATATGCCCTGCAAGAGAAAGGAGGCAAGAGAGCTGCTGCTCTCCGAGCCGCGCTGGGCCCTCAGGCCCGTCTCTGCCCTGGCTGGGGCAGATGGCCCCAGAAGAGCACTCCCGTCTCCCGCTTTGGGCCACAGGGACCTGCCTCCTCGACCTCTCCATGGAGAAGTCCCTGCTGGTCACGTTTCCCAAGAGAAACCCTCTCATTTCTCAGTGTTTACCTCACAGGCAAAAACAAGAGGTTTCCATTTCCCACTCAAAGCAGAATAACCCAAAATGAAATGCAAGGGTCACCTTCACTGTTTGGTTTACAAATTTAGAAGGGGCCCTGGGCTTCTGGCATGTAATGGGAGATTTAACGGGCCCAAGGATCTGAGCACTTCATGACACCGGGTTCGCGGGAGCACCTGCTGATTCATTACAGCTGCTTTAGGGGCTCACGTTGCTGTGACCTGCATCAAAAAAAGCCGCAAAGCTGCAAATCTCCCCAGAGAAGGAGCAGCCTGCAGAGCCCCTGCACCTGCGGGGTGGTTTGTGGCCGCATTTTGGGCAGCCTTGTGTGGTTTTATTGCAAAATGAAACGCGTTTTCACTCTGCCAAGGTGGGTAATTAGGGAAAATAAAAATGCAGTCACTCCGTGAAACTCTTCTTGCTCTTAGCTTTGGATCGTCTCTCCTCAATTCCCATGTTCCGGAGCAGGTGACGGGGAGGAGCAGGGAACACTGTGCGTGCCAAACTGGCCCCCATGTCCCCCCCGCCCCAAACCTGCCCTCATGTTACCTCGCCCCCCAGGCTGCCCCCTC